AGCTGCTGATCAGTTTCAGCAGCAGCTGACTTGGGGACACCTGGGGTTCTTAAGTTGAATCTGTATGCCAGATTCAGCCACTGTTGAAACTGATCAGTTTCAGCAGCGGCTGAATCTGGACGCCAGTTCCGACTTACATACAGATTCAACTTAAGAACAAACGTACAGTCCCTATCTTGTACGTAACCCGGGGACTGCCTGTATATCTAGAGTTATTTTCCCATAGATCATCCATATTCTTCTTTTCTGTTGACACCAGTAGTATACCCAGATTCAGCCACTGTTGAAACTGATCAGTTTCAGCAGCGGCTGAATCTGGACGCCAGTTCCGACTTACATACAGATTCAACTTAAGAACAAACGTACAGTCCCTATCTTGTACGTAACCCGGGGACTGCCTGTATATCTAGAGTTATTTTCCCATAGATCATCCATATTCTTCTTTTCTGTTGACACCAGTAGTATACCAGTCTAGCACTAGAGATGTGAAAGATTAACTGGTAAGTATCACCCTTACCCAGGTAATGCTTACTAGTTCCAGTTAAGAGGTGAAGGCTGGAGCAGCTCCCCACATGTGGCAGATAAGGGCTGCTCCAGCCCTGCAGGGCCTGCTGCAGACAGGGGCTGCTCTAGGGCTGGAGCAGTCCTTGTCTGTGGCAGGTCTGGATGCCCCATCCGAAGCAGCGTTTGTCTGGTAGGAGGCTGCTTCACCCCAGCAGCAAGGAGAATGGGGGGGGGAGGTAGCATTCCAGCCCAGCCAGACTGGCGAATCCCCACTCCAATTTCCCCCCTTTAATTGGTTAACTGGTTAAACAATGCGTTTAACCAGTTAACCAATTAAACATGATTTTAGATTCCTATCTAGGGCCTAACAATGTAAAAAATGTTCATAGGAAGGTAGTGAAGGTAATTTCCACTTTGTTCTTTATAGTCAAGCTCACAAGTATCTTCTGCAACTGATTAGTAGCTTTGCCTATTTGGTGATGCCCTGTGCATATTCTGTCATCCTCCTGTAACAAATAGTTTGTCTTAGTATTCTGGACTTGATGTACTCACCATACTGAAAAATATTCAGACCTTTCAGAAGCCCATCTGTGGTTCTTCTAGCCCCAGGCTATGTCCTCATCAAGCATGTCAGCAAAGAAGCAAACTTGTTAGAACTATTACTAGCAGTCTTCTTATCAGACACAGACACTGCAATTTGGCAGTCTGTCGCAGAATGACTGTTCGGTAACTGTTATCGTCCAAATATTGATCTCATAGTTGAAGGCCAAGTGCTGCCGCATTTTGTGTTCAAATGGCCAGAAATGGAAGGGTCTTATTAGATACCCTGTTGCTTAATTAAAGGACAAGTTGTCTTTGTGTTTCCTTCCTTTCCTTTTATATCTCCATTTCTTTGTAAAGTGTGTGAGAGTTACATTAATGGCTCTTGAAATTGGATAGAAAGTGTGGGCTTAATTATTGAATAGCAGGATGGCTGTAGGATCGGTATTCTAAAAATGACTATACTTTCGTATTTTCCTGTTAATTAAATGTAAATCTTGTGTTTTGCAGCATTTGCTCACCTACAGTCTGTTTTGGTTACATTAACAGAAATATTTAACTGGCAGCAACTAAATGAAAGAGAATGAATTTATTCTGGTTTTATGAATTAGTATAAACATTTTGTTTAGAACTAGCTGCAAAACAGTTTTTTCTCCTATGAGAAAAGTCCACATTTTTATAAAACCATTTGCCCTAAAGAGCAGAACCAGGGACCCTGGGCACCATGATTCTTCAGCAACTTATTTGATGGGCTATGGAGGTGAAGGTGGTTGAGCTTGCAGGAAATCATTGCCTGCCTGGTTTTCTGTGAAAGTTGCACCAAAATCTACACATTTCCAGAGAAGACCTCCTTGTCAACAAATCTGTATCTTCCAATGAAAGTATTTTGTCAGAAAATTACTGATCAGCTCTGAAATTGTGCCAGTATTCCATAGTACCAAATGCTTAGGCTCAGTAGCCAAAGAAAAGTGCATTTGTGTGTACAAACTGTACATGGTTTACTGTCATCTTGTCCATTGCCCTTTCCTCCGTGATTTGTTGTCTACGTTTATAAGCTCTTTAGAGCAGGTACACTCCACTGAAACTGGTCAGGAATTTTACAGGCATTTTTTCCCCTTCAATAAATGACAGTTCATTGAATTAAAATGTTCTGTGGAAATGTGTTGATGTCTTTGAAATTTTGACAGAACCAGGCAGGATTCTCTAAATGTACAGCTGTATATCCTGCCAGCTTTGTTGTCTGGCCCCTTTGCTGCCAGCCTGGCTCCTTGGGAAGCCAGGGAGCACATTTCATTTCTGAAACAGAATATTGCAGAAATTCACTTCAATGAAAAATTTTGGAATTTGAGCTTTTCATTCCAATTGGGGATGAAACCTTTTCCAAAGCCTCAAAATTTTTCATGGAAGTGAAATTATTTCCCAAACAGCCGTATTGTTTTTTTGTAGAGTCCTGATATAATATTAGTAATAATAATAATGGTAATTTACTACTTGAAGATACGTTACATATTCTATCAGGCGTCTCATAGTTGTACATGAGTTAATCTCATAGTTGTACATACACAGTTAATCTCATGGTTGTATATTGTTGATCATGGTTTTTAGTAAGCTTTGTGAGGGTATGTCTAAACAGCAAAATTATTTTGGGATACTAGCAGTATCCCAAAATAGCTACCCCTATGTCTTTTGAATACGTCCACTATTTCGAAATATAGTGGATGCACTATTTTGCCATCCCTGTAAACCTCATTCTATGAGGGAGTATGGGATGGCTTGAAATGGCATTTTATTTTGAAATTTGGCACTGTGTAGACAGCGCCAAATGACAAAATAAGCTATTATGAAATAAACTCAAAATAAGCTACGCAATTTGCATATCTTATTTTGAGTTTTGGGTGCTGTGTAGATGCACCCTAAGTGATTAGTAGTTGGGTTGCTAAACATAGTTATAAAGCTTGGGAAGGACCAAAGACATGGTCAGTATTTAAACCTAGAGTTGTGCTTTCATAATTATGAAGCCTGTACTGCCTTGCTTATTCTGGAAAGCTTGCCCATATAGCTATTACCAGTACATTTAAATTTGGGACCAGGTTTTCAAGACATTTTAAAGAGAGAATATTTTAAAAAATCATCTTGCTGCCAGTTCTGCAGTTTCACTCTTTTTACAACTGTTACATGTGTTCTGTCAGTTTATGGAGACTGGTATTCAGAACATAAGTGGCCCACAAGTCTAATGACTAGTTTGAAGGTTCAAAAAGTCTCTTATTTGTAGTGTTAAATTTCCAATCTACACTTATATTTTGTTTATATATTTTCTTATATATCAGAATGGAGAGGGGTAACTAGTGGTGTTCCCCAAGGGTCAGTCCTGGGACCAATCCTTTTCAACTTATTCATAAATGATCTGGAGAAAGGGGTAAGCAGTGAGGTGGTAAAGTTTGCAGATGATACAAAACTGTTTAGGATAGTCAAGACAGAAGCAGACTGTGAGGGACTCCAAGAAGATCTCACCAAACTGAGTGATTGGGCAACAAAATGGCAAATGAAATTTAATGTGGATAAGTGTAAAGTAATGTACATCAGGAAAAATAACCCCAACTATACGTACAGTATGATGGGGGCTAATTTGGCTATGACAAATCAGGAAAGAGATCTTGGAGTTATCGTGGAAAGTTCTCTGAAAACTTCCACACAGTGTGCAGCGGCGGTCAAAAAGGCAAATAGGATGCTAGGAATCATTAAGAAAGAGATAGAAAATAAGACAGAGAATATCTTTCTGCCCCTGTATACTGTGGTCAGATGTGGTCTCCTCACCTCAAAAAAGATATTTTGGCCTTGGAAAGGGTTCAGAAAAGGGCAATTAAAATGATTAGGGGTTTGGAACGGGTCCCATATGAAGAGAGGTTAAAGTGACTGGGACTTTTCAGTTTAGAAAAGAGGAGACTGAGGGGGGATATGATAGAGGTATATAAAATCATGAGTAGTGTGGAGAGGTCAGATAAAGACAAGTTATTTATTAGTTCCCATAATAGAAGAACTAGCGAACTAGACACCAAGCTAGATACCAAATGAAATTAATGGGTAGCAGTTTAAAACTAATAAAAGAAAGTTCTTCACACAGCGTGTAGTCAACCTGTGGAACTCCTTTCCAGAGGAGGCTGTGAAGGCTAGGACTATAACAGAGTTTAAAGAGAAGCTAGATAATTTCATGGAAGTTAGGTCTATAAAGGGCTATTAGCCAGGGGATAGAAATGGTGTCCCTGGCCTCCGTTTGTCAGAGGTTGGAGAAGGATGGCAGGAGACAAAATCGCTTGATCATTGTCTTTGGTCCACCCTCTTTTGAGCATCTGGCGCTGGCCACTGTCGGCAGACAGGCTACTGGGCTGGCCCAGTACGGCCATTCTTATGTTCTTATGTTTGTGTGCAGGCAGATTCTGGGCCATCTGATGAAGCAGCCCTGATCCTTCACAGAAAAGGATTTGACTGTAGATTTTCAAACAAAGACACAGGGCTATTATGCTCTACTACTCAGGGAAAGGTATGTTGAAATATTGAAGATATTTTTTGCATGCATGCTTAATTTAAAATGTTTTAGAACTCTATGTATTCTGGTTGAACAGTTTATTTTTTAAAATGTCTTATTTTCAGGATGCTTTTGATTTAATACTTCTTGAAAGCCAAGTAAAATGTTCTGTGTTTGGCAACTATATGTAGAGCCTGAAGTATGTAGGTTAACAATATGGCTTTTGCATGTCAAAATAGCCTAGTTAAACATTGCCATAAACTTCCAGGTTGGAGTTCCTTTGTATAAGCTTTCTGTAAAGATGATTTTCAAATTGTTGGTTTTTGTTTAGAATAATTTTCATACAGAAATACTTACGTTATGGAGTCTTAAATATTTTTGTCTTCTGCACATATGATTAGTTAACAAACATACATTCTCCCATATGAATGTTGCTTTGAAGATTGCAGTAAACATCAGCATAGCAACCCAAGCAAGTCTATCAACTTCTCTGTCTATATGGGTATTTGAATGGCCCACATCTCCTTAGTGTCTGAACATTTCACAAACATTATTTAATTTGTCACCTGTGATTATTTGGTTATGTAACCAGGTTTGTGGGGGATTCTAGATCTTTGGCTGGTGGTAATGAATCCATAGAATTCACATAGAAGGTTTAATCCAATCTGGAAGTAGTTTTCTGAAGGGTTGTCTAGAGAGTTAGTGGGGGAAGATTACATGTTTTCTTGGTTACCGTTTTCATTATAAGGTTGTCAAATACAATGCCTATATAATCAAACCTGCTATGTAATGATAATTTTAATTTGTTGCTTTCAAATGTGACACAATGTGAATAGTGTCTAAATGGGCTTTTTCAAGCATAACTTATAACAATTAAAATAGTCATGCATGTTGTTGCCTGCACACTAGGGGGTTGCATACTAACTGTTCTGTGTTTACCTTGCTGGTGCATATTAAAAGTTCCTTAATGCACATTTATGCCGTACTGTTTCAGACAGCATTGTTAATGTGTAGAAGGGAGCACTATGTTAAATGTCACTGACTTGTATTTAATTTTGTTTTTCAGATAAAGGTGCACAAACTCTTTAATAAGTTAATCATTGAAAGTCTTATACCTGCATCTTTATCACTGATGCATTCACCTCCAGATGCCAGAAATATTAGTGAGATCAATATGAGTTCGATGGAGATAAATACATTCCGGATCAGACTGAGATGAAACCTGGCTTTATTCATACAGAGAACAAGAATCTACAGTTATTTTTCCTTTAAATTTGACGTGCAATAAGAAGCACATTGTTATTCCAGTTTCTGGATACTGTGAGAGAATCTGCATTCTAGAATTTTTTTGTCTTTTGACCAACACAATAAATAGCCATGTTGCAAACAACTTTTTCGTTTTTACATAAATACCAACATCAGTATAAGTTAATGCAACACGTGAAGAAATTTCTAAGGATGTTAACCTCTCGACAACACGTTGAATCTCAGGTTAAATGCTGATTAATAGTTTCTGGGGTTTTTTTTGTTTTTTAAGGGAAAGGGAGTAGAACTTAAATGACTTGTTTTTCTGATCCTTGCTTGATTTATATACAAATAATTGTCATGTTGAAATCCCTAATACAGCTTTGAATTGAAATGGAATAAAAAGCTCTTGTGTAATAGCTAATGTCCAAATATTTTGAACCATTTATATAAATAACAATAATCTCAGTTTATTCCATACTGAATTTCAATTTATTCAATGGGATAGAAAATTGAATCCCGCGGTAAAATAAAAGGCAGGAGTCTGTCTTGTTAGTGATGGTAGTTTTTAAAAATTTTGCCCTATCATCACTTTGTGACTTTCATGGCTTAAGAAAATGTAGAAATTCAAATTAATCCTGCGGTGGAAAAAGTATAGGAATATTTAATAAAACTCCCATTTTGTTATTTGACATATTGGGATATGTGCAATTATTCCATTATCATATACAATAGAAAAGTAAATGTGTAATAATCATGAATACAAGATTTTTTACAAAAACTCATTTGGATACTGATGTTCTCTGAAATGGGTTTTCTATATCAAGATTAATGTGCCTTATTTTTTAATGTGTCCCGTTACTATTTTACTGTCCACAACACTGTTTTGGGGAAAAGGGTAGTTTATATAATACTTACTATGTGTCTTCTATTTGACCATGCTGGCCACACTCTGATCTATGTCCTTCAGCACCAAATTTGGGCTGTGTTGTTCTGAACATTTTGACTATTTGAATGTACTAAAATGTTACAAGACAAAATATTGTAAGAATGAGGAATACTGTAATATTCATATTCAGCCACTGTCAAGGAAACTGCATCTTGATGCAGAGAATTGATAGTATGTAAAACAGTTTGCAAAACCCATCATAAATGTATTTGCATTTCACAGATTGCAGTAAACTGTGCATTGAGACTCATGTGCCTATATATTTTAAAATGCCACTCTTCAAACTTAATAATCATGCTTACATATGTTGCCAATGTTTACCTTATTGGGGAATAGCTTTTTATTCCTCTCACTTCGTTTTCACCATGTTAAGTATTTTGCATCGAATGCTGAAACCATGTGAGTATGGACATTCTGTTTCCCTGAATTAGCTACTGTTTACAATTAAATTGTACTAATTTGCATCTGAGTATTATTCCCTTTCTGATCTTCTTTAATCTTCTATCTCTGCCTTCATTTTTGCTTAAGCTTTACTTTTACATTCATCAGTGATTTTATTTAATAATAACAGATAAACCCTCTTACCAACAAAAGACATTTCTAACTCTAAAAATGACTGCTGTGCTATTTTAATTAGATAATTTTGGTGCTGTGATATATCAAATCATATCTTGTAGCCATACATTCTATTTCAAATGTTAAATTAAAACATTTTACTTTTTCTTTTTGCATGTACTGTCATGGTTTCAATGTCTGTTTATCATGATTGCATAATTCATAACTTAGTTCAATCTGCTAAATATTCTTAAGAGTAGAATATTTAGCAGAATTTAGTGTGAATTATGTCAAGGATATGTTGACCACTAACCATTTATGAGAAGTTGAGAATTATATTTGAGACTATAGAGAACAGTAAATTGATGTTTTCATGCAATAAAGATGTACTGTAAGCTTTCTTGGCTACATTATTTGAAATTTTCCCCTTTTAAATTGAAATTTACAATCTGTAAATTCGTAGAAAATTGTAGTAACATTTTCTATTTTTTGTTGCATATTTAGATGAGAAATCTTCCGAGCATTCTTTGCAAAGACAATATTCAAAATAATATCTTAAATTATGTTAGGAAGAAAATTAAAATTCTGATGCAATAAAATTGAAAGTATTCTTCCCCATTGGAGTCGTTTCCAAAGGATCTGTTTCTATAGAATTAAACCATGTATTGTATAAGTTTTTCATTTGTTACCAACTGTACAATCATAATACCTGAATATTCTTTAACCAGCAGATTTCTGCTTTGTTCTAGTATATTTTATCGGGAGGTGGGGGGGATGTACAGGAGACTTAAATGCCTTCTGTTTAAATTATAAGTTATGGTAAAGTTTGAATCAGTTTGAGGTCTGTTATGGACCTCCTTATCTCAATCAAAATTTCCATCAAAGTCAGCAAGCAGAGATTATGCTTAGGTGTCAGTTCAAGATTGTGCTCTTGCTTCCCTCTCCCCCATACCTCCTATGATTTGTTACTCAATACTTTAATTGTAATATTGTGGTTTTGGAGATATTTTTTTCTATGCATTAACTATACATACACCATCCAATTTTAATTATATTTTTACATTTTTTCTAATTTTGTATAGCTGCACTGGTGATTGAGATCCAAGCATCCTTAATTTCCACAAATAAAGATTTAAAGAAAATTCAGTTCAGGATATGGCTTCAAACATTGTAATTATTTTCCAGACCATAATTGTACTTACATTGAGGTTGTGGGGTGTTGTTTTTTTTTAAACATTCCCTTATCTTAAATGTCTTTGATTTTTTTTCTTGCTCATCCTGTCTCTGAAAAACTGGTTTAAATGGAATGTTTTTGATATTTTCTCTTGGAAGGTTTTATATCTTTTTGGGGAAATGGAATATAAGATCGCTAATAAAAGAACTTATGGTGATATGCTGTCTGTGTCATTAATGCCTTGACCATAGTTGATTTAAAAACAAACAAAAATTGTGCTTTAAAATTGTTGAGGCTTCAGTAACATATGATTGGCATAAGGATTTCCTGGTGTGAAATGCATTGCTATTGAAGGATGCCTAGGGTCCTTCATTTTTAGTTTTTATTTTGTTTATAATTCCTCAGAAATATATCAACGCTTTTGTTTCAAGTGTTTTTGTTTTTATTTTTGTAAGTGCAAAAAACTAATTTTACAGCTTTCTGGGTAAATATAACTCATTTCCTGATTTGTCTTTTTTACTTTTGGAAAAAAATGTAGTGAAACCTCTCTCTTTTTGGTGGCGGGGGATGGGAAATGACCCATTTTGGCATGAAAAGTAATTCACATACTTATATTTGTTTTGCATGGTGGTGAATGTGGGATTGTCAGCAATATGAACACCAAGGCTCGAATCTTCCTAGGGACTTCTGACCTAGCACGCTCTTTTGGAAAGTGAAATGCATTTTGGTAACTTGATTAGAGTCATCTCACTTCGAGCAGGCCTGGAAACGAGATGGAGGAGGCAGCAGGAGCAGAATGGTGCCCTTGCCTCCTACACCCCTTTTTTTTCTGGATCCTCTCTAGGGGGAGAGATCATAGCTCAGTAACTTGGTGGCCTGGGTTTCCAAGCTGCCTTATCTCCTTCAGATTTCTGATACTTCCAAAATATAAAGAGAATCGGTTTTTTTAAAGGAACGTTTTTAAAAACTGGAAATAAATTGTTAACAATAAATAAAACTGAAAATTAATGAGTGAGGCATCTTCAAGGCCCTTCTTCTCCGGTGCATAGTAGATACATTATAAATGATAACTTCAGAAAACTAAATATGTGACTTCTTACCAAAAAATGAAGAGAATACTTTGTTCAGAAAGAGATGTTCTGTAATATCAAAAAGGGGAAATGTACCAAATAACAGGATAAGAACAGCTTTAAAATACTTGAATTGTTTTCTAACAAGATTTGAAAGAAGAATTCAGCTCAGTTCTCTTTTTATATATTTGAGAGTGATAAAGTGAAGAGTACTCCGAATTTACTTCAGCAATTTCATTAGGTAAATTAACAAGTGTAGACTGTTGGAAAATGCTTTCAAAATGACAGTATGCTAACCGGGTTATATTTTTTTCATTAAAATGATTATGAATGTCTTGCATTTTCTAAAGCTAACTACAGCTTGTGACACCTTTAATTGGGACAGATGCTTGCATTATTAGGACATCTCCCAAGGAGCTGATTTAGCTTAATGATAGTAAATAGCAATGGATGCTGTTTATTTGAGACAGAATTAGCATAAAGATGGCTTAATGGGGGAACATGTTGAGCCAGAGCCAAAAGGTTAACTGATGATTAACCAGTGGTCAGAAAATACGAAATTTTAAGATCCAGGATTTTAAATCAGAAATTGGTAAATAAAGAACAAAATAATCGGTGCATGCTGCAGTGTGTGTCATGGTCTACACTGGGCCTGTACTGATTGTTTCTGGAGTACCAAATCCTTTTTAAGCTCATTTTATCATGGGATCATAATTGGTTACAGATAGTTTACTTGTGATGGAGCAAATAATTTTTTCTTGTTTAGAATTATTTGTTTACATTCATGATCATGCTGAAGATAATGTTGGATCTCACAAGGATACCACATGCAAATGAAGCATTCTGTAGAAGGTTTTAAAGCAATGGCTTCCAAAATGTGGTTATGGATCACTTCCTATTGATTCAGGGAGAGCTAGCTAGTCATGTGCTGATGCTGCTTCTGGAACACAGTGACCGTGAAACAAGAAAGTGATCATATTTCAACTCATCCTTCCTTTCTTGTCAGTTTAAAGCTGCAGACTTCAGAACCATGATAAACTTAATCTTTTCTTTTGGTGAAGATTATAACATACTGATCTCATTGTCTCATTACTAAATGCTTTCTAACTATCAACAGTGAACTGAAGGGAAAGGGCTGTTAACAATTTCAAAATTTGATCAGTAAAGACCTACACAATGCTAAAGAGAACAGGAGAGAGGTCAGAAGGGATCAGGCTTAAGTTGGCAGAGAATAAGAAGCTGCACATGAGCCCTAATTTAGGTGTTAACTGTCACAGAGAAGGCCAGGCCTTAGAGTTGTGACTGAAAATATGAAAGCTGAACAGTAAACGAGCCTATTGCTGGCAGGAGTCACAACAATAGGATAAACAGCACAGTGTCCTGTAAGCAGGAGGTGTTAAAGAACTGCATGTGTGGATACTAGTTCGGTGCAGATGGGCCTACAAGACTGGATAGAAGAATTGATCTCTAACCATTTGGGTCTGTGGGCCACTGTTTCATTACCCACAGGAAAGGACTGTAAGCATCCCTGGCGCTAAGCTGCAGGAGACCCATGGAATACAGTTACCTTTATACCAGGTACGGACTCCTGCCTCAGGAGCTAGCTTGAGTTTCGTAGCTATAAAAGTAATTGTTTGCACTTTTTTGATTTTCTAGGAGCCCTGGTAAAGTAAGTCCTCTGTTCCTGGACTCTAGCAGTGGTGAGCTACCCAGATGTAAAGTCTTCACAGCCTTGTGTTCAAAGTGCGCAGAGAGCTTGCATCCAGGCTCATGATACATAGAGCACATCTCCTAGATGGGATTGATGGATCACAAAAGTCGGTTGCAGTGACTTAGTTTTGTAGAATCCTATCATGATAAATTGATTTATTGATTCAGTTGATGGACTGAGAGAGTATCTCCTATTTAGTTATGAGCTGAACTCAAAAAGGATTTTAGGAGGGCAGTGGAGGCCTTTCCTGACACTACATTGAAGAAGAGCAGTATATGGAGAAGCTGCATCTCCAAAGGGACATTTGTTTCATTAGCTCTGTTGTTAGTAGCTTGCAGGAATAGACAGCAGATGAAATAACTGGATCTTTTTTTATTAGGGATGTGAAAAATGTTAAAAAATTAATCATGTAACCAATGGAAAATACATCAGTTACAAGGTTAAACGTGCTTTGCAGGATCCTGGCTACCACTGGCCCAACAGGCTCTGGCCTTGCGAGCTTCAGGCTTCTGCTATCCCTGGCTGCCACTGGCCCTGCAGCACCCAACTGCCTGCCTGCGCTCCCTAGCAGAGTTTAAATGGTAACAGAAACGGATAAGTATCAGCCTGTCAGTTAACTCTTTAAACTTTTATATCCCTACTCTTTACAGTGGCATGAATCAATAAGATGGCATGCCAAGGAAAAACATCAGATGGCCTATGCAATGGTCCTTTTGCACTCCGTGGTCTTACCATCAGAGCAAAGAGCAAGGACTGCCTTCCAGGGCTACATGCGTGGCGCACTCCACTCGTACGTCACTGTCTCCCTCCTCAGCCACCCCAGCTCCCCTTCTGGTGCTGAAGGAAACTGTGGGACACAGTGAGCAGGGGCCTATGGCATTCCCACCCACAACAACCCTCTCTGACTAGCCACAGGAGATGGAGGTCTTGGAAGACCCTATGGGACAGGAGGATCCTATGCTGCCAGTGGTTCATCCTTGTCTCTGGACAAAACAGTAATGAGCACTTCTTTGCCCTACCCCTATCTATGGACTCCAGGCCCACCAGAATCTGTGTTGGTGGGTGGCCAAAACCACCTTAACCTCCAAGCCAGGGAGGTGGTGATGGAATCAGACCCCATAGTGGATGTACTGTCACCTGAGGTTCCAGAAAGCTCTACCTATTAAGTCAATCCAGACCACAACCAAGGTACTTTGGCAGACCCCAGAGTTAATCGCACCCATGGGTAAGGGTTAGAGCAGCACTATTTCAGACCACAGTGAGGTTATGAACACTTCTTCACACACCCTCAACGTAGGTCATCGGTGGTCAACTCAATAAACCAGAGAGCAGCAGAGGCAGACGGGCCTGCATCCAAAAATAAGGATGTTGGACATTTTTTGAATGAAGATTTATTCCACTGGAGGCCTCCAGCTGTGGGTTTCCAATCATCAGGTGCTTCTTGGCTACTACACCTTCAACTCCTGGAATGCTCTCTCTTAAGTTGCAGGAACTCCTGTCCCTGGATGCCTGGCAGGAGTTTGCAATGGTCTTGAAGAAAAAAATGGATCAGCAAAATAGCTCTCCAAGCAGCCCTAGACTCTTGAGAACTCAGCCACACATACTATGGCTATAGGGATCACTGTGCGCCACAATTTGTGGCTTCAGGTGTTTGGCCTCCCAGTTGAGGTGCAGTGCACCATTCAGGACCTGCCCTTTGACGAATCTGGTCTGTTTGGTGAGAAAATGGATTTGTGTCTCCATAGTCTCAAGGACTCCGGGGTCATGCTAAAGTCCTTGGGAATTCACTTGCCTGCTCCACAGCACTGACAGCTGGGGCCACAGCCACCTCCACGCTTCTTCTTTAGTCCTCCTAGAGAAGAGCAAGGCCATCATAGGGGCAGACGGAATAATGGGAGAGGGACAATTTGTCCTCCTCCACTTAGTACCAGGGCTTCTCCAAGCAGCCTCCCCGGCCTAAGCCTCACTTTTGAGGGTATGCCAAGGGCAGAGCACCAACCATTTAGGATTCCTCCCCACCCTTTGGGAACTATCTGTCCCATTTCTACCATGCTAGGACCTAAATTACCTGAGATCGCTGAGTCCTGAACACAGTAGCAGTGGGATATTCTATAAAACTCTGCTGTCTTCCTTCCCACCAACCCTCCCTCCTTGTTCCTCTTCAGGGACCCTACTCACGAGCAACTCCTCCTACAGGAAGTACACTTGCTCCTGGCCTTAGTTGCAATAGAGGTGGTTTGATGGAACATCCCCCCTGCCCCCCCCCCCGCTCCGCTTTATGAAATGGACTTATGGACACAAATATACATAACTGAAAGATGCTGGGGACAAATTGCCCCATGTAACCCATCAATGTCTTAATCTGCTGGGTCTGTATATCTTATTTTGGTGTATGTATCATTCTTGTGTATAAAGTTAGATATATGGAATATGAACATAAGAATGGCCA